AGCAGAGGGAAAGTACAAATATAAAGCAAGGAGGACGACTCTCGATCTCCTTAAACCCAGGAGTCTTCTATAAAGATATCAAGTCTTAAAAAATTAAATTGCTTTCTTTCTATTCTACAAAATGTTGTTTTGATCTTAAGAGTAAACAGTCAATTGCAAGATTTTTTTTCTTTCTACAAAGGCTTGTGCCAAATTACAGGACTAAATTAAAGAAATGAACTCAGCGAACAGCATCAGACTTGTCTGGATATGCAGCAACCAAAATTCTATTCAATAAAGGGCTTATTAATAGTGAGCTTTCAACATCCTTTGCTGGCAAAGCTCACAGGACCCAGGAAAGAATCCAGGGCCAGAGGAAGGTCTGTGCATACCCATGAATGCACTGCCCACTGTTTCCAAATTGAAATGCAGGAATGAGACCAGTGGGAGAAGCTGTGTTTCAGATACAAAGTTGGAAGTGGTAATAAATTGTAATGGCTTCAGCTAACCATGTACAGTGGGGAAATGACAAATGTGTCATTTAGAACCTGCCGGACCGAATATAATGAGTTATATTAATATGGACAGATTCTTCCAGGGTTATTATATACAAAGAGAGCGAGGCTGTGAGAACGCTAATTAAATGAAAGGGTCGGCAACTGTTTTTAACTTCAGGAACGTTTCAAATGCTAACATGCTCCTTGGATTTACCCAAGGGAATGCTGAGACTGTAATGAAGCCATTTCCTTTTTAATAGGATGAAACACACACACACACACACACACACACACACACACACACGGAGACACACGTATCGGCAGCACCTGGACACCCTGTATTCTGCGACCCACAGAATCAAGGAAGTGAGAAAAGCAATCAGGGAAGTGAACTCCATTCTGAGTGCACCCAGGACAGCGCTGTTTGTGCCAGATTCAGACAGCTGTTCTCACATTTGCCCAAGAACAGCATCAGGGTTGAGGGTGCTGGGTCGAGGGACAGCCTTCAAGTTGTCATCAGTGCAGTGTGTAACCCATCAATTTCTTGTATTAGTAGGAGGTTATTCAACAGGGTCAAGATTCTCATCTTCCAATCCTTAGCCAACTTTCTCTCCTCTGCCTTAAATAAAATCAATCTCCAAAGAACCATCAAAACACCCAGCATCAGATTCCATTTTCTAATCTCCTGTGCAGCACATAATCTTGCATAATCACAGACTGTCACAGCTGAAAAGGGCATGATATAGCCCATGCATCCTGGACGTAGAGGGGGACTCACTCAAGGTCACACAGTGAACACATACATAGAGCAAACCAATGCAGTACTGTGGTCTGTAGCCGCCTTGGCTAATTTTTCAAGAGGTTTTGGCTAGAAATACTTTCAAAGGTCTAAGTTTTATTGTTAGTTTGGCTCCTGTTCATTCAAGATAGATTTTTCACCCCCAAGAATCAAAGGTTTTACCATAATTAAAAGTAGTAAATGGCGTGCCTTATCTGGATCTGTCACTGCTGATTTAGCAAACAGGCTTCAATAGAGCAATGGGAACCCCACCAGACATCAGATATACTCGCCACTAAACTATTTAGGGTAACAAATGATGCTTGATTTATTGGAGAGAGGAGTAAACTTTGTATTTTGAAAAATCCTCTTTAAAGAGCTGTTCAATGGGAAGAGGTGATCCTTTCTGGTTCATAAAAATCTCTATTATATAATCTGTCACTGTTTCTTTCTCTCTCTTACACACACACCCATCTATCAATCAGTCTCTTCTTTAGGAATACTAAGAGAACCTGTACTCCTCCCCTTTACTTGCAAAATAAAAAGCAAAGCTCTACATTCCAAAACCCCATCTTTTACAGAATGCAGTGTGGTATTCTGGAACTGAAAAAGGGGCTGCAGGGGGGAAACTGGTAAAATTCACATTACATCTTAAGTTCAACAAACAATAATGTATTATCAGTGCCAGTTTCTTAACCAAAAGTACCATGGTTATATGACAGTGGACTACTAACCAAAAGATTGGCAGTTTGAACCTACCAGCCCCTCCACAGGAGAAAAATGTGGCAGTGTGCATTTCTAAAGATTACAACCTCAGAAACCCTAATAAGTCAGAATCAACACAACAGCAGTGGGATTTGGTTGGGTTTTGGTAATGTAGATAGGAAACTCTTCATTATCTTTGCACCTTTTCCATAAATCTAAAATGACTGCACAACTAATATACATGAGCTCTCTCTCTCTCCACACACCACACACACACACAGAGAGAGAGAGAGAGACAGACAGACAGATATCTGGTGGCCTAGTGGTTCGAATCCACAAGCTGCTCCGTGGGAGGACAGGCAATCTCCTCTCTTGCTATTAGCTGATGCCTCTGAAAAACCAAAAGAGGGTCGGTCAGCTACTGGATGGTTCTGACTCTATGATATACAGCAACAATAACAAGATGCACAAATATACTGACATCTCAAAACCAATTCACTTTTTTAAAATAAAAAAAAACCCCAAACAACCCCACAATAATAAAGTGGCCTTCAAGAAATTCATCCTTTAAAACCTTTGATTCCTGAGATGACTTAAGAGGCAGGAAGACAAATGTATCAGGGAAATCTTTTCCTACCAGCACCTCTGTCAGGAGTTATGACAGTAGGGCCCACTATGGGGACAGGAGATGGAAAGCCATCAAGCAAACACAGGAAACATAACTGAACTGGTCACCTTTACCATAAAATTCCAGACACTGTGCCCTACAGCACTGCCGCTCATAAATGAGCTCTTGCGGAGAAATGCTGGCTATGCTGGTTAGGGGCAACGTGCACCCAGTGGAGATAAGAGGTCTGGCTTAATGGATTTCTTAAGTCTCTGAATTTTGTGGAAATGTCTCAACAGCTCTCTACTTGTTCTTTCAAATTGTCCCTGAAAATATCTTCCCATGGTGCTACCCTGAAGCACAGTAGCCTCAGAGACTTAAGTTCCGCCTCCTCCGTTTTAAATTCCACACACTGAAAGCCTGTCCCTTTTTTCCTCTGGGGTTAAGATGACACGAGGCAGCACTCATTTGCCTGTTGCTCTTGGAGGGCCAAGGCAGGTTCATCCTGAGCAGGTTCTGTGCCTGAGGCTGGTTGGATGAGATGAGAAGCAAACTTGAGGCAGGTGCTCTGTCTGCCCGAGCAGAGGCCTCTGGGAGAAAAATGACAGTCAGGGGCCAAAAGGGCCACTCGGTCCACACTCCAAGGACACTTCTGTATTTCTGTTCTTACCAGCCTCTCCTTTAGGTGGCAAGTATTTGTTCTCAGTCTTCAAAACTATGTACGTATGAAGAGCTTAGGTTTGACTCTAGAAGCAGCAAGAGTAAATATGTGAGGTAAGGCCTGGCATGATTTTGTGTTACTAAGAGTACAAGGTATATGATTCCAGGAGGTTCAGAGAGAGGAGCAGAGAGCTAGCCAGCAAATTGTGGGGAACAGGCAGCACAAGAGGGCCTGCTGGCAAACTGGAACTCACAGATTTAATGGCTGGCCCCTTACCGCATGGCTGAGTCCAGACTGGGAACGGAAAGGGGAGTCATTATTTTTAATGTCTGGGTTACCTGTCAGCCCTTCCAAAGTCTATCATCTTGCGATGATTAAGTCACTTGAGTCTTTTTAAATTGCTACTAAAATTGAGTTCAAATGTATATAAATCACCATTTGGATCAAGAATCTTTAGAGTACTAATTTATCATCAGAGAACTCCCTATCTTTTAGGACTAAGGTTAATGGACTATTTCTTTATAAATATATGTAATGTTAGATAAAGCAAGAAGGAGGAGGCAGGGAGGCCGACTAGGACATGGAAACCCATGGTGAGATCTGCTTGCTGTGCCTTCCAACAATATAAACTAATCTGTCTTCTTCTGAAAGCTGCAAGGAATTTTCTAGAATCTTTGGAGGGTGTCTGCAGAAGGACTGAGGAGCTGAAAAATGAATGAGGAAAGCCAAGGTCAGAGATGAGATGGAAGTGTCTCAGGTCCAGTCAAGGAGTTAAGAACACAATAACTGGCACAAAGGCCCCTACTACTCACCCATGCCCAGCATTCTGAAGTCAGGACACCTCACTTAGGAGGATGGGGAAGAAGCAGGAGTATGAGGAGGTAGAAGCTGGGTCACAGGTCACTCAAGTCCCTGGGAACGTCTTCCCCCACACAAGCAAAGCCTGTGTCACTCACTGTATTTCCCCCCCAAAACTCTTCACTTCTTCCACCCGATGAGAGTGAAGGAAGGAGGGATGTGCAGAATCCATTTATAAATGGAAAACTGTCCATCTCAGACTCTCAACTTGCCCTAGGTCTCAAGCCTGGCAAACGTGCACATTCCCTTAACTTATGCGGAACTCCTAGAATATGATGAGATTGCCCTTCCCAAGTAACATACACAAAAAGTCCAACTGCTCTCATGGGGGTTGGGAATTTTTTTTTTTCTGACATTCAATGCAGGGGGCCTCATCCATGAAAAGGTTAGGTACCACTTATCTGGTCCTACTGCCCCATTTTTCAAGTGGAGAACGGAAGGTCTGTAGCGAGCGGACCAACTGTCCCAGGTTACACATCCTCTTCATAGCCAAGCCAGGTCAGAGCGCTACCTAACACCCAAACACCCTCTCCCAGCCCAGCTCTTCAGAACCAGGAAAACTTCCAGGGCTAAAAGCCTAGAGGATAATAAAAATTAGAACAGCAGCAAGCGGGAGACCACTCGTTACATACCGAGCATGCATTTTTCTTTTAACACTTCTAAGAACCCACTCTCTCCACACTCAGTACTCACATACTTGCTGATTATTTTGCTAGCTTGTCTTCCACAGCTCTGTCTTTAAGCTCGAAGAGAGTAAAATCCAAATCTGTTTTCTACTCTCTCTATCCTCAGTGCTATTTTTGGTGGATAAAGAAGATGGTCGTGTTTTAAAGTTAAATAAAATGTGGTCCAGAGAGGTTAGAGATGAGCCCAAGGAGGCGTGCACTCTGCCAGTCCTCGAAACCACAGCCCTACCTTAACAGCCTCGGCGTGGGTAACCCGGGCAAGAGACTTGTCATTGACGCGCAGAATCTGGTCCCCGACCCGCAGCCCTTCCTTCTCGGCCAGAGAGCCCGGCTCCACTAGGGACACATAGATTCCAACGCCGTGCTCCGAGCCGCCGCGGATACTGAAGCCCAAGCCCTCATGGGCCTTGGCGCGCCGCAGGCTCACCAGGCGCACCTCTCCTGGCCCCGCGCCGTCGGGGCCGCCCCAGGTGGGCTGCCTGTAGGGGGCGGTAGCCGGCAAGTAGAGGCCCTCGGCAGTGTACTGGTCAAAGAGCAGCTGGTCGGAGCGCGGGATGACCAGGCGCAGCATGGGCAGCAGGCGCCGCTTGACCGGGCTGTCCAACAGGACCCGCAGGGTGCGCACCAGGTCGAAGACGTTGCGGCGCGCGTGGTACGCGTTCAGGCAATGGGTGAACTGCTCCCGCTCCGCCTCGCTCAGCAGCGCGGTCAGCGCCTGGTGCAGCTGGCGCACGTTGGCCGACAGCAGCCGCAGCCCCGAGCCCCCGCCGCCGCCCGGCCCGGCCGCCAAGCCCAGCGAGCCGGTGGAAGACGAGCTCACCGAGAGGCCGTCTAGCTGCGCGTTCATCTCCCCGCCGAGGCCCGGGCGGACTTGGGGCGCGCGAAGGGACGGCTGCTGCGCTCGCGGCCACAGGCACGGCAGCTTGATCTCCGCGGGAACGTGGAGACGGCGGCTGGAGTCTGGGTTGGAGGGGCGCGAGACAGAGTCTGGATCCCGGGGGTTGGTGGAGATCACCGCTTAGCGTCCCGAGGGGCTGGAGATCGCAGAAGCGACAGCGGAGTCCCAAGGACGCAAAGTCGGCGGCTGGAGCCCGAGGTGTGCGGAGACAGCGGCTACATTCTGGAGGGCACAAAGACGACGGGTGGCTGGGGACGCAGCAAAGCTGACCGCCCCGTCACACCATGCCTGGGGCTCCCCCAGCCGGACTGCTCGTTCTTCTTGGGCTGGGGGACCCCAAAGTCAGAAGTGGGAGGGGGCGCTCTACTCCCGGAGCCCCCCAAACCGCAGCCGCTGGAGCCGCGCGAGTGTCCAGCAGAGGGTGCGGGGCATGTCGGGGCAGCCGGGGAATGCAGCCGCCCGGGGACCCCCGCGCCCCTGCGCCGAAGGGGCGCAGACGGAGCCGCGCGGCCGCAAGCGCGGACTTTACGAACTGTTGAGCCGCCCCGGGCAGCGTCTTCCAGCGAGTTCCGACGCCGTCTCCGCCGCCAGCCCAGCCTTGGTCCCGCCCCCTCACCCCTCCCCCTCCCCACCCCCTTCCCCCCGCGGGCTCTTCAGGAAATGACGTCCCGCCTCGCGCCTGGCGGTTGCCTGGAGACGGGGTGAAACAGTCCAGCCTTGGGGAAGAGAGGGGAGAAAGAGGGGGTAGGTGTGGAAGACTTGGGGGCACTGCAAGACCACCCTCCTAACTTCTCCGGCCCCGGTGGGACATGGATAAAGACTCAAAAGCTTCTCCGCGATCGGAGCATGTGCATCAGCATCGCCTCGGCGCAATTAGTCAGCCAGATCGTTTACAATTGTGGACAAAAATAACCAACTTCTTTCCTCCGAAATGCTGGACACTGCAAACTTGGTTCTGTGCCTTAAAACACAACTCTTTGCCCCTAGCACGTGTAAGTTCAAGGGCCCCTACCATAAGCAACGGAGCATAAAAATTCCACAGTCCCAGTGTAAGCTAAGCTGGTGTTGTGGAGCTAACACCTTTGCAGGGATAGATCAGACCTGGCCCAGGCTCCAGTAGGGGAAGAGTGTTGTTTTCAGAAATAAAAAGGTGTGTGCGCAAACACACACAGACACACAAGCAAACACGTAAATGAGAACATGGAAAACTGGTGAAATCTGAATAAGGTGGGTGGCTTGTATCAATGTCAATGCTCTCATTGTGATGTACTATATCTAGTTATAAAAGAACATTGGGGGAAACTAGGTGAAGGATACATAAGAGCTCTCTGAATCTGTAAGTATCTCAGTTTATAAAATTGTATAAATATATGGGGGGGACTTACAGGGGGAATCTGGGACTTTGCACTTCAAGACAAAATGAGGAAATACTAGCAACATCACATCAAGGCCTAGTGCTTCTCAGCACTTAATTTCATCCTCAAAATACAACCTAAGTAAAAAGGCCTTGTTCATTTATGCAAAGGTAACTTTCGCAGGAGTCTCTTGGCCGTTGTCTCACCCCATCACCACCACCACCACAACCCCACACAAGCATCCCTTCCAAATAAATCAAGTGTTTCTTCTCAGATCTTCTGTGAAAAAGTTTGGAGTTGCCATTGCCAAGCCAGCTGACTTCTATCTGTAGATGTTATACTCCTCCTCTAGGTGTTATTGGGAGGAGGTTTGAGCTGGACCCAGAAGGCTAGATTTGGCCCTATTAAATAAAACAAATGCAATTTAGCCAAAGCCTAAAGACCAGATTGCACTTGTTCCGTGAGTGGCTTGGGTGTTCAAGCCTTCATTTGCACTAAGGAAGTAGTAAAGTCTCATTCATTCACTTACATATATGCTCATTGTTCATGCAACATTTTCCAAGCATTTTTTCTGTGCAAGGTTGTGTGCTAAACAGTGGAGACCCAGGCAAGAGATAAAATCTCTGATCTTGTGGAGAGGAAAGCCACATAGGTAAATACACCATTAAAACTTAGCATGATAAATGCTATGTAGCTGAGAACACTCAGGACTAGGGGAGAAGAGAGGAATCACTTTCCAAAGCCTGACATCTGAGCTGAAGGTCCCTAAGGAGAACGGATATATTTGACTCTGGGAAGTGGAGATCAAGGGAGAATTTTCAACATTGTTAGCCAAATGTATTAAAAAAATTGAGACTAGACATTGAAACCAGACTTTCTCTAAACATTTTCAACTCTTCCCATTTTCTGTATCTAGACCTCAGTTAAATTAGTACCCAATGAATATACGTGAGGGTGTGCCTGGAGGAAAGATTTTAAAAACCAGTTAAATTGGGCATCTGGTTTACAGCTCTAAATTCAATTAACAATGTGTCTCTTTATTCCTCCCTTTTTCCTGTCCTTGACACCTTTGATGCAACTAAGCAAACCTTAAGAAACCTTAAGAAAATAAATCTCCCTCACCCCTAAAATAAATTAACATCATACCTCAAAATACCACCAAGGAGAGCTTAATTGCATGCAGTTCAGGTTTTCTGCAAATGTATTTCATGCTTTGCTTTCACTTAATTTGTGTTCTAATTATAATTACTCCGATTGATTTGATAAATGTATCTCAGGAGCTAAGATCTCTATTCCTAACATTTTATTTCTGTGCAAAGGATATTTGTGAAAAGGTATTTTGCTTTAGGCAGGAAACCAGGTTGGCCCCATCTCAGCAGAATAAGAAACACTTTCTTCTACAGACTGGAGAACATCTGGATGCCATGCTATTGATTCATTTTCTAGAGGCTGACTTGGAAGGGCAGCACAGTGAGAGAGCATGAAGAGAAATCATCGGGGTTCCTCCCATTCATTTAGCATTATCACCTTAGGATCAGTTTGCACTTTTCCCCCCTCGCACAACAGGCGGTGTGTAACTGTGCTCAAACTCCAAGAGTCCTATTTCATGTCTGAAGATGTGTTTGTCAATCAGACATAAGCCCTTGGCAACCCAAGATGCCTGGGCTCCTGAGGGCTGATCTGTCTGCCTTGAGCCTGCAAAATCCAGAAGGAAATCTGGAACAGGGAGAAAATGTGGTTTTAGCCGGCACACTGCCCTCTTCAGAAAGAAAATATGATTCACTTCTGTTTGCTGCAGGCTTGGCTTTGCTTTTTCTGCCAAAGCTTTTTGTGGTTGTTGATAATTGTTTTTTAATCTGAAGAATTGGTGTTCTTTCACTAGGATAATCCTTTAAACTTGAACTCACTGGAGCAATTGAAAAGGTGGACAAGGAGAGTGAATCATATTTAGTTTAGATTTGCTTGTCTTGTACTGATTTTTGTTGTAGTTGTTGTTCTTATATGTGTGTATGTTTGTTTTAACCAAGAGGCAACGTTTTGAGCTGTATTCTGGTGCTGAAGTAGAAACTGTTATTCTCGTCCATAAAATGGGGCTTTTTACACCTTCCTGTTCCCCTGAGGACAGTTACAAGCACCAAGTCTTGTGCAGTAAATGAAGGTGTATTGCAACTCAAAGAGTGTCATAAAGTTGTTGGTTCCGTTTCTTCGTTTTAATCTTGAAAAACCTCTCACCGTCATTTTAATCTTCCTTCCTTCCCTCTTAGCCACTGGCTTGCATCCTTAGAAGGCAATAGAAATTAGTTTGAAATGCATTTCCCGTGGGATCCATAGAAAACCACAGCTAATTTTCATGGAGTACCAAGCATTGTTTTAAATGCTTTTGGAATTTAAACTCTCTCAGTGCCCCCTTCCCACTATTATGATTCTCATCATCATCCCCATAAAACAGACGGGAAACCAAAACAGGAAACTTACATATTGACGTTGCAGAGCAAATTCATGAAAAAGCTGAGATTTGAACCTTAGTAGTTGGCCTCCAGAGTTATTACTGTTGACCATGTCATATTTTGCCTTTTGCTTGCCTGGTTGGGAGATGCTAAAAAGTCGTAAATGAGTACCACGTTTTCTCTAGAACACTGGATTGGGAATTTCCTAAGTTCAAACAAACCTCATATTTAAATGCTCCCTAGGGTTGAATTCTCCTTTTATGGTGGAAAGAATGAGCAAAGATTTAATAAAGAAGACATCATTAAATGAGATGGGGCTGGAGGGCTTTGAGGGCCTCAGAAGTTCCTGGTCTAAGTGGAGAAGGAGGAGAGCAGGAGATCCAAAGCTTTTGGATGTAAAGTCTCTGGAGGCCTTTCCTAGCTTTGGATCCCAAGGAGAAGGATGTTAAGCAGCTGAAATGATCACGTCTGCTCCAGGACCACAGCCTGTCTCTTTCCTGCTATGTCAGTGAGGATAGCATCAGCAGAAAAAAGAAAATCATTCACCTCTATGACTGGTAGATGATACAGGCAATATTGATGGCAGTACAGCGAGATAAGAGGTAAGAAAAAGAGAAAGCACCAATACATCAGAAAAAGAGAAACACGGGTATTTATCGTGGCCTGATTATAATCCACAAGCAGTCTGTCTTGTGATCACAGGGAATCATGTGATGTTGGTGCTAGAAGTGTGTTAAGAAACTAGTGCTGATCTCAAGGTTCAAATCCTACCACTGCTTGCTATCTGTGTGACCTTGTGTACTTCACAGAAGGCTTTTGTACATGAGTTCTCTTACCTAGAAAATTATGACGATGGTGCTGTTATTGATTTTATGGCAAATATTAATTGAGCTCATGTATGCAAAATACTTACTAGTACAATGGTTAGTACAAAATAGGCGCTCCCATATGCTTGACTTCTTGGTAAAAGGGTCCACCAAAAGCAGGGATAATTGCTTATTTACCTATGTTAAGAATACCCAATAACCAGCACACAATAAAAAAACAAAACAAGAACTGACCCAGTGGCCACTGAGTTGATTACAGCTCATGGTGATCCCACAGATCAGAGCAAGCCCTCAGGAGCTGAGCTGTTAGGTTGTTGTCTTATTACAGTCTGGTGATGGTGGTCCAGGCTCTTTGGCTATAGATAATTGTAAAATGAATTCTTTACAGGAGTCTTGGTGGCACAATGGTCAAGCACTCAGCTGTTAACTGAAAGGTTTGGTGATTTTACTTGCTTCACAGGAGAAGGATCTGATGACCTGGTTCTGTGAAGCTTGCTGCCTAGAAAAACCCACGGGGCAGTTCTGCTTTGTCACCTGGGGCTGCTATGAGTCAGGATTGATTCCTTAGATTCAACAAAAACCAGCAGTTGACAGGAATCACGTCTGTCCATTGTCACAACATTCCTATGAAACATGTACCATTGCCCCTTCTGAGAGATGGAGATACTAAAAGTCTGGACTATGAGGTGGTGTCCCCAA